AGGGCTTGACCACAGCTTGTCTTGGTGCTCCTAGGTGGCAGCTCACTCTTCCCCAGGGTTCAAGCCCTTCCCTTCCCACTGCTCCCCAGGAAGCCCAGCCCATGAGATCCACACAGCTCCACTTCCCACCTGGCCCTGTGTCAGCATCGGGTGGCTCTGAGCCCCTACTTCTGGCACCCCCATGAGCTCTTGAGGGGCAGAGGAGTACAAGAGACAAGCACCACATTCACCTGTCCCTACATCGAGGAGGAGATAGAGGGTGACAGGCACGAAGATGTCCTGAGGCCACAGTGCCAGTGCTCCATTCCTCTCTGGGCTCAGGGATGCACAAGGTGAGGGTTTTACACCCACTTTAGCTGATGTTCCCACCCCTGTGTAGCTGGGGAAGTCAGCATTGGCCCAGGGCTGATAGTGCCACAGCTGTGACTCTTGGGCCAGGATTTCCTTTGTCACAGCCTGATGGATCTCTAGTGACAGAAAGCAGGCCTCACTGAACGGAAACAGGGGGACCTGCTGGGCAGAGGGACCCTGAGTGAGGAGGGTACGTTCTGTCTTCCAGAGGGTAAAGAACTCCATGTCACCTCTTTCCCAGTGGGCCAGGGAGCTGCTCCAGTTGCGCTCCCACACAGCATCTGCACTGCCCATGGTATGGTGCGCCTTTCCGACCTCCTACTTGGATTGCAAGTCATGGATCTGGGGTGCTGGATAGCTTAATTTGGAGCATTTATTGAGCACCAGCTATGTATTCTTGTAACCAGTGAGCAGTAACTAAGGGCTTGACAGGAGTCAGAGGGCTGAAGCAGGAGAACAGTCTAAGGTCCGACTGAACACTGGCACCTATGAACTGTGTCCCAGGCAGACACTACACCTGTTTTGATTCCTTAGAAAAAACTAAGTGACAAGAGTCTCAACCCTCCACTCTGGCATGCCGTTCAGCCCCCCAAGTGCAGACCTGTGCTTTACCAAGGGGCCCTGCGTGTCATCTTCCATGCAGCCTTCACCTGGCCTCACATCCCACCTCCCACAGTGAGGGGAGGGACTGCACTGCCCCAGGCCTCATCCTGTGCTCCTCTCCACCCTCCACTTGGGGCTGCAGCCTCAGAACCCCTGAGCTACCCTTACCACTCCTGCCGGGGGCCAGGTTACTGGGTTCACTTGCTAACTCTCAGACACAAGCTCACGGTTTCCAGAAAGATTTGCCCTTTGCGTTAAATTTCCATACTTAGCCATTTGTGCCCACATTCAAATGCAGACACCTCCCCGCCTTCACCCTTCCTCCCTCCCTCATTCATTTCAACCACCTCCACCACTTTTGTCACTGACCGTTCCCTTGCCACCTCCATCACCTGGCATAACTGTTACTACCATCTCCTCCATGTGGAGCAACTCTGCCATTACTACCATTTCCTCATCATCTTGACCAACTCCAACACCGCCACCACCTCCATCACCTTAGCCATCCCTATCAGCTCACTGAACCACACCATCTCTACCACCTCCACTCTTCCGTCACCTCCTCACACCAACTCCTTCACCTCTTCCAAGTGTATCTTCTCCACCTCACTGCTGTTTCCCTAACCAGCTCTTCATCTGCATCCAATACATGTCCTTCATCTTCACCATGACATCCTCCACCTCCACGCTCTCCACACTCTCTACCTCCACCTCCTCCATTTCTACTACTGTCTCTGCCTAAGGGGCTGTCTAATTAGCACAAAAATCCAGCCATAGATTATTCTTTTACTTCAGACACGCACAATCCTTCACAAAA